ATCTACCTACCTACTCATGTCTATACATTTCACTTTCTCTGCTGTTTCAGGTGAACTGTCTGTTCTCAGAATGGATGCCAGCCCCTCCACGTGTGCACTAAATCTCATCCCCTCTTGCTTCTCAGTCGTGGCACATCAGCATTTCTCCCCTATATATCATCAGGTTTTCTTTCTCTCCTGGTTCTTTCCATCAGCTTACAAACATGCTGTTATTTTTCTCAGCCTAAAAATACCCTTTCTTGTCTCCACATCCCTTTTAGTGTAGAGCAAAACTCATTGAAAGGATTATCTGTACTTGCCAGCTCCAATTTCTCTTCTCCATTCTCTTGAGCCCCCGTCTCATTTACCCTCAGCACTCCCCTGAAACCACTCTTGTGAAGATCACCCATGGCCTCCATAATGTGCAATCCCATTGGCATTTCCAGCCCTCATTTTGTTTTTGCCCTCTCAGCACTTGACTCGGCTGATTCTCCCTCCTCTTTGAAACACATTCTTCCTTGGCCTTCAAAACACTATACTCTCCTATTTTTTCTTTTCTCTCTCTAGTCCTTCCTTCTCACCTCTTCATACTTTCTTCTCTTCACGTTTTCTTGGTGGCCTCATCCAGTCTTGTGGCTTTTAATATTATCAGTTATCAACTCCCGAGTTCACCCTCCCCAGAACTGCAGGCTTGTTCAACTCCCAACTAGCATTTCAACTTGGATATCTAATAAATACCCCAAACTTAGCATCATTTCCACCCCTCACTCCATGCTGCTCCTGCAACAGTCAACTTCATCTTATCTTCATCTCAGTTGCGACATCACTCTTCCAGGTCAAAACCCTAGTGCCATCTTTGTTGTTGTTGTTTTTGGAGACAGTCTTACTCTGTTGCCGCGAGGCTGGAGTGCAGGGGTGTGATCTCGGCTCACTGCAACCTCCATATTCCGAATTCAACCAATTCTTGTGCCTCAGCCTCCCGAGTAGCTGGGACTGCAGGGGTACAACCATGCCCAGCTAATTTTTCCATTTTTTGTAGAGATAGGGGTTTCACCATGATGCCCAGGCTGATCTCAAACTCCTGGGCTCAAGCTATCCAACCACCTTGACCTCCCAGAGTGCTGGGATTACAGGCATGAGCTACCGTGCCCAGCCCCTAGTGCCGTCTTGACTATTGCCTCTCTCATACCTTACGTTTAAGTACTCAGCACATGCTGTTGACTCTAACTTCAAAATCTCCTGGATACCAACCAGCTTCATGTGTGTGTGACCTGAGCAGTTGCGCCAGGCTCTGTGCCTGGTTTAGTGCTCTGCTGTTGTTGTCTTGAAATTATTAATAATTAAAAAAAATTGGAGTATGGTAAAATACATATAACACAACATTTACTGTCGTAACCATTTTTAAGTGTACAGTTCAGTAGTGTTAAGTATATCCACATAGTTGTGCAACCAGTCTCATCTTTTTTTATCCTTGCAAAACCGAAACTCTGTACCCATTAAACAACTGCCCCGTGTCAGCTTCCCTTCAGCCCCTGGCAACCATCATTCTCCCTTCCGTTTTTGTGAATTTGGACTTGACTGTAGATACCTCATACAAGTGGACTCACACAATATTTGTCTTTTTGTGGCTCGTTTATTTTACCTAGCAAATGTCCTCGAGGTTTATCTATATTTTAGCATGTATTGGAATTCTTCCTTTTAAGGTGGAATAATATGTCCTTGTATGTATATGACCTCGTTAAAAAAAAATTCTTTCATCTGTTGATGGACACTTGGATTGCTTCTGCTTTTTGCTATTGTGAGTGATGCTATGAACATGGGTACACATACGTCTTCAGGGCCCTGCAAATCTTTTCAAGTTTTTATACTCAGAAGTGGAATTGCTGGATCATATGACAATTCTGTTTTTAAGTTTTAGGGAACTGCTATATTGTTTTCCATAGTGGTTGCACCATTTTATTTATTATTTATTTATTTTAAGAGAAACCACTCAGACTGCATCCTCTCCCTCTTACTCTCTCAGAGGAAGAGATGAACAATCATCAATGGCAAATAGCAGTTGCAGTGAAGCAACGCCAAGAGCCAACTTCACGCTCAGGAGAGAATACTGAACTTCCTCCCCGTGGATTCTGGGGCTGCGCTATTTAAAAACTCTTCTTCTTCCTTTTTTGGGGACGGGGGCAGGCGGATAAAGTCTTTCTCTGTCACCCAGGCTGGAGTTTAGTGGCACAACCATAGCTCACTGCAGCCTCAAACTTTTGGGCTCAAGCAATCCTCCCGCCTACTTGTCTGCCAAGTAACTGGGACAACAGGGAGCATGCCACCATGCCTGGCTAATTAAATTTTTTTTTTTTTTTTTGTAGATGCAGACCCTTGCTATATTGCCCAGACTGATCTTGAACTCTGGGCCTCAAGTGATCTTCCCACTTTGGCTTCCCAGAATGTTGGGGTTACAGATGCACACCATCAAGCCTGGCTTAAAAATTCTTGATAATTGGCTGGGCCTGGTGGCTTACCCCTATAATCGCAGCACTTTGAGAGGCCAAGGCAGGCAGATCACTTGAGGCCAGGAGTTCCAGACCAGCCTGGGCAACATGGTGGAACCCTGTGTCTGCTAAAAATACAAAAATTAGCTGGGCGTGGTGTCTTATGCCTGTAGTTCCAGCTACTTGGGAGGCTGAGGCACAAGAATCACTTGAAACCAGGAGGTGGAGGTTGCAGTGAGCAGAGACTGTTCCACTGCACTCCAGACTGGGTGACAGAGCATGACTATCTCAAAAAAATAAAAAATTATTGATAATTTTTGAACAAGGGAACCTGCTGTTTCTTTTTGCGGTAGAATGCATGAATTATGTAGCCAGTCCTGCCTTGGTGTTTCCACTTTACACCTAGTCTAAACCACAGTCTCATCTAGATTATTGCAGGAGCCTCCTAACTGGTCTCTCTGCTTTCATGTAATCTCAGACACATCCAGTGATTCCTTTAAAACATATACAGGACCTCCTCATTCTTCTGCTCAATATTCTTCCATCTCAGGGCCCCACATGATCTGCCCCTGCTCCATCACCTCTCTGGCTTCATCTCTTTCTCCTCCCCCTCGTTACTCCTCTCCAGCCCTGCTGACCTTTTTAGTGTCCCTTGAATTCCCATGCTCCTTGTTCCTTCTGCCCAGAAAGATCTTCCTTCAGATGTCTGTGTGGTTTAGATTCTTACCTCCTTCAGATCTTTATTCGAAGAACATCTTAGTAAATTCTTCCCTGACCATTTTATTTAAAATTAAAATCCATACTTATGCTGACACTCTTTCCCCTGCTTTATGTGTCTTCATCATACTTATCACCATTTTAATATTCAATACATTTAATAATTTATTTTGTTAGTCATTTATCTCCCCCCACCAATCACTAGAATACAAGCTTCATAAGGGCAGAGATTTTTGCCTGTTTTGTTGATTGCTGTCTCTTTGGAGCCTAGAACTCTGTCCAGCATGTCGGCACTCAGTGTTTGTGGCATGAATGGATGAATGAGCTAGTCTTAGAGCAATAATCTTCACAATGTGGTTGTATTGGAAGTCTAACTGTCAGAATATTAACTGAGTTGGAGATAATTTATGTGATACTATGGGAACTGTTAGGGCTACTGTTTAAATTGTCAGGTTTTAGTCAAAGACTATTAGCCACTGTTCTCCAGAGAAACAGAACCAATGAGACTGTGTATGCAAGGTATACAGATAGTTATATGTGTGTATATATATAAAGAGAGAGACAGAGAGAGATAGAGAGAGAGAGAGAAGTATTGTAAACAATTAGTTCACATGATTAAAAGGCTAAGAAGTCCCAAGATTGATGGTGAATCAGTAGGCAACAGACCCAGGAGAGCCGACGATGTAGCCCAAATCAAAGACCCACACACTCAAGACCCAGAGAGAGTCCATGTTTCAGTTTCAGTCTGAAGGCAGGAAAAAAACAAACATCCCAGGCTGGAGGCAGTCAGGCAGGAAGAGCTACCTCTTCGCGTTTTCATTCTATTCAGGCTTCGACTGATCGGAGGAGGCCCACCCACATTAGTGAGGGCAATCTCCTTCATTCACTCTGCTGGTCCAACTGTTAATGTCATCCAGAAACACACTCACAGGCAAAGCCAGAAAGTCTTGCATGTCATTGACCAAATGACCAGTTAAGTTGACATATAAAATTAACATCACATTCGGGAGAAAAAGAGATTATAGTATCACTCTGTTTCTTTAAAAGATTGCCAATGGTCAGGCTGCTCACAACAATAGAGGCCACTGCTGTTTCAGTCATTTAGAAACTGATGGGCCTTTAAGGGCTATGAGTGTTTGACAGATAAGATTTTTTAAAGATAAAAACAAAAACTTCCTTGTGTCAGTGAAATCATTACTTGTCTGTCTTCCTGGAAACTAACTGGAATTACATCTTCAGCTCTTCCAGTTCACAAGTTTCCTGAATATGAGGAATATTTATTTTGTCTTACAGAGAATGTTTGGAAGTAGGGTACTTGTTTATTCCAGGTCAGTGGGCAGAGCAGTGGAAAAATCACCCTGGCTTCACTTTTAGCTTTCACTTGCTATAGGTCTGCTCTCTGGGTTAGTGGCCGCTAGAATATTCCCTATTTCACACAGTAAATGACATTCAAAACTGCACACCAGGTGGACAAGATGTAATTGCTTATGTCAAATGACTTGCTTCACCTGAGCTGTTGCTGCACGCACGGAGCGTGGAAGCTGGAAAGGCCATAGTCACTGATGAGCTACATGATTCAAGGCCACAGAAGCTCTTGATGTCTGTAATGAAACACACACACACACACACACACACGTCTCTCAAGTCCATATCTGAAGCCAGTGTCTTGTGTTTCCATAAATCCTGGCTCACGTGACATCTCTTGCTTAATTGCCCTTTAAACTGTTTTATGACTTTATAGCAACCTATAAAAGGTGATTTCCAAATATGACAAGCGCCGGCGGGCTGAAGGGAAGAGTTACCCAGGAGTTGTAATCACTGAATCTATAGCTGCTCCCCTAGCAGCTCAGCCTTCCCAAGAAAGGGAGAGGAACTGCCAGGGCACTGAGCCGCCATGGGGCGATACTCCGGAAGAAGCTTCCGTTTAATCCTCATGTGCGTCGTTAGCATCCTCCTCTTCGTGATGGAACTAGTGATCGCTTACATTGGCAACTCCCTCTCCTTGGCCTCTGATGCTTTTGCCGTCCTTTCCCACTTAGTGTCCATGATCATAGGTTTTTTTGGTGTAAGGGCCAGCAACATAAAACAGCACAAGAAGAGCACTTACGGCTTGCTTCGGGCAGATGTTGTGGGAGCATTTGGGAACACCATTTTTGCGGTGGCACTGATGTTCAGCATCCTGGTTGAAGCCATCAAAAGGTACATCAATCCCGAGAAGACAGAGGAGCCAATACTGGTTCTCAGTGCTGGAATTATCGGTCTGTTCTTCAATGTTCTTAACTATGTCATCTTCTTGGACTGCTGTTACTGCGCAGCACCCAAGTCCCAAGGAGACATGGAAGCAGGTAAATAGCTACTCAGAGGGTGGCAGTAAATTTGGTGAGAGTCCTGGCGAGTGCTGTCTGAGGAGGCCTTTATGGTACTATCCAAAGGGGCCCGAATCTTTGAGTCAGCCTCTTGTCCCCGTGATTTTACAATCGACCTTTCTCAGAAGAATTGCCTTTAGTTTGAAGTTCCTTGTGAGGGTAGCAGCAAGTTGCTTCAATGTTGGGAGGACTTCTTGAATTTTTACTCACAGGGAATGAAAAAGTGTCTTCAGCCAGGCAGAGGGAAAGTAAAGGCACTAATCATAGCCACAGAGAGAGCAATTGGAAAGACGGTGGATGTGGCAGTCTCCTTTAAGTGATTCACTGTTGTTTACCCAGATGTGACATGGCTATGTTTGAATTAGAAAAAAATTTAATGTCTCCATAAAATATGTTTAAAGGTACTGGGCTACATAACTGACTTACACAGAGCACAGTATCAGACAATCAGGTATGCTGATTAACTGTTAGGAATATATTTGAGGAATGGTATATAAAATGGAGAGAGAAAAAATAAAGAAGGTAGTCCAGTAAATGTGGCTATGTTTTGAAAGGAAATATTTGCATTTATTTATTGCATACATCTGTTCTGTTTGAGAAACAGGACGATTTACATGTGAATCTTTAGGAGAGACTTAAGTGTGAGTACCAAACGTACTAGATTATCTGTCAAAAGAATGGAATTAAATCTTGGAAGAGAACAATACATCTAAAAGATGCTTCTTTTTTTAGATGGAATCATGTTTCTTTAATTTATTGCCACAAGAGTTGTTTGTAAGTACATATGTATCAGAAAGTTCTTATAGAAGAGAAATTTTCAGTGCTTTTTTTATAAAAGAAGTCACATAGCATGAATAGATTCAAATTATGGTTCTAGCACAGGGCAATAGTCAAGTTACTTCACCTAGCCTGTTTCCCTACCTGTAACATGGAGTTAATAAGAACAGAGAGAAATGCTAAGTAACTTATTTAGTATTTAGTGGGCACTTGATAAATATAAATTATTTTCTAAATCACAATGCAAGCCTTTAAACTACAGGATAATCCAGTATTTAATTCTAATAACTTATATGAATTTTAAAAAATTTCAAATATTTCCTTACTTCATGCTGAAGAGTTTTCTCTCAGTAGCTGGGGCATTATATAACTGAGTCTGGGGACCTCAGAGGCTAAGTTGCATTTTTTATTTGATTCCCTGTCTTTGCTACCATTATAAATTATGTCTGTTGGAGCTGATACTTTATCCTACCTCTGTCTCAATTTTCCTATTGGTAGAACATATGTTATAAGAGTATCTGTAGGATGTGGTAAATATAAAAATAAATTAGAAACTAGAGTCTAGATTTTTATTTGAGTTAATGAATCACTGAATTTGAGCCTCATCTTTTGTAAAGAAAAATTCATTGTTAAATTGAGACCCTATGCTATGGCTACATCAATCATCATGTGAAAATTACTACCAGAGCTTCCAGATCATGAAATTCACATATTTGATATAGACAAATATATATTTTTTATTGCTAAGTATAAATTTAAGGCAAGAGAGATGATTTCGAATGATTAGTGTTGACATTACCATTATATTTGTGATCGTTACATAACAGTTCTAATTTTGCCTTTATTCTTGACATAAAATATTTACCTGCATATAACAAAAGCAATTTAGGTAAACGGTCTGACTCTGACCAATATGAAACTTGGTACATACCATAGTTCTATTTTTATAAAATTGAATTATTACTGGATAGGTAGGTCTTAGTTAAGCTCTTGTTTGGGAAGTGGTATTTTCCAATGTGTATGTTCATGCTGAGATAACAACAAGAGGCTTAAGACAAATGTTTTACTCCAACCATGTGGGTTTCTTTTTTCCCTTTTCTTCTTTTTTTTAAAAAATTTTTATTTTTATTAGAAACAGGGTTTCGCCATGTTGGCCAGGCTGGTCTCTAACTCTTGAGCTCAAGTGATCCACCCGCTTGGCCTCCCAAAGCACTGGGATTGGAGGTGTGTGCCACAGTGTCCAGTCCAGCTATATGGGTTTCTACTGGCTTAATTCTAGAGTATCTAGCTTCTTTTGAAGTATTTGATGCTATATAGTGTTCTACTTTAAATAAGTGATAGGTACAATATACATGTGACTCATGCTTTAAAATACATGTTCTATGTTATTATTATTATTTGGGCAGCTTTTGGTGTTGTCAAATTCTTCTATTAGAAAGTTTAGGCTGGGTACAGTGGCTCATGCCTGTAATCCTAGACTTGAGGAGACAGAGGCAGGACGATTACTTGAGCCCAGAAGTTTGAGGCTGCAGTGAGCTATGATCACACCACTACACTTCAGCCAGGGTGACAGAGTGAGACCCTGTCACTAAAAAAGAAGAAAAAGAAAAAAGAAATTTTAGTGTTTAAACTTGCCAAGTTCCTTTAGGATAGCTGTTTGACTTGTTAGTATTTATGTCTGCAGTTATGTGTTTATCACCTTTTCTGAACTATACATTTTGGTATTCTTCCCATCGTCTAAATTAGTTTAAAGAAAAGAATAAATATTGCATCAGATGAACCTCATAAATTGACATTAACCTGATATCAATTGGCTGACATTTTAAGAACAAATATGATTAATCCATCCGTATTTATAACAGGAGTCATAAACTATGAGAGGGAAAGACTCTTGATTTCAAAAGTTTCAACCTAAACTTAGGATAAAGAATTTCTGTAAGCCTAGAACCCTAGCTTATAGCACATGGAAGTACCTATAAAAAACTGCTGGGACCGCCTGGCTTCATGATCAGAATCCAGTAATGTAACACTTCTTTAGTGGAATCTCTAACTAGAGGTTTTTGCTTAACAAGCCTTCAGTCTCCCCAAGGTTCTGTGGATCTTTTACTTGTTCTGCTTATCTATCTGGTGTAGAAATTGAATTCATAATATTTGATATTTGAGATCATGGAAAGTAAAAAAAATCAAGACTACTACCTTTACATTAAACTTAATAGAACAAACTATATACATAGGTAAGACTTTATCCCTGGGATTCATGAAAAAAGTTATACTGACATACATTCAGACATACAGAACCAGAAAATTTTTAAAACCTGGGAGAAAAGAACGTCTGGAAGATTTAGCTGAGATGAGAAAACTTGAAAGTTTTAGATCCAGATCTAGCTGGTGGGAGGCGACCCCTGACTCTAAAAGGTGTGAGGAAGTTCAAGCAATGGTAGAGCCAGTATTTTTGGGTAAAATGAGAGGCTAAGTGAAAAAAGTAAAAATACAAGCATTAAGTAAAAGACAAACAAACAAAATAGGGTTAAAGTCCACAATGGTCGTGGCTCTGTGTGTGCATATGTTTCGGGGAAGGGAGTAGGGGAAAGGTTGAAGTGGTGAAAACAACATGTAGGTCCAGATCGCAGGAGATACTTACCACGAGCCAGTTTCTTTCTCTAGGCTGAGGGACTCAATTTGTTATGTTTACACTTTTTCCCATTCCTTGCTTACTTTATTTGATTTTCCTTGATTTTCTTGTTATTTTTCATGTTTAAGTCTTATTGTTAGTTATTTTTTCAGACCTGAGTTATCTTTAGAATCGAGCTACTAAAACCCTCCATGCCCTTGCCTTGTACTGTATGAATAACCTTGCTATACAGTGGCATTTATTTTAAGCTAAAGGTAATCTTGTACAGCTCACTTTTCCAGTAGGATGGCTTCTGCTCTAGTTTGCATCTTTTTCTGTCTAGGATAGATCACGCCTGCCATTTATATCATTTACATCAGAAATATCTGTTAATTATTTTATAATTATATATGTATTTATAAGTATATATAATTATAATACTTTCCTTTGAATTTAAGTTTTGTTTTGGTTTTTTGAGATGGAGTCTCACTCTGTTGCCCAGGATGGAGTGCAGTGGTGTGATCTTGGCTCACTGCAACCTCCGCCTTCTGGATTCAAGCAATTCTTGTGCCTTGGCCTCCCAAGTAGCTGAGATTACAGGCATGTGCCACTATGCCCAGCTAATTTTTGTGTTTTTAATAGAAATGGGGTTTCACCATGTTGGCCAGGCTGGTCTCGAACTCCTGGCCTCAA